TTTCTCGTAACAGCTGCGACAAGCGTGTAACTGAACTCAAATCAGTCAATCATTTCTCGTAACAGCTACGACAAGCGTGTAACTGAACTCAAATCAGTCAATCATTTCTCGTAACAGCTACGACAAGCGTGTAATTGAACTCAAATCAGTCAATCATTTCTCGTAATAGTTACGAGAAGCGTGTAACTGAACTCAAATCAGTCAATCATTTCTCGTAACAGCTACGACAAGCGTGTAACTGAACTCAAATCAGTCAATCATTTCTCGTAACAGCTACAACAAGCGTGTAATTGAACTCAAATCAGTCAATCATTTCTCGTAACAGCTACGACAAGCGTGTAACTGAACTCAAATCAGTCAATCATTTCTCGTAACAGCTACGACTAGGGTACAACTGAACTCAAATCAATGAGAGAACTTTAACCGGTTTACAAGAAGAACAATACATATTATTTCACAAAGTAATCCGAGCCTCGTGTATATTTGAAAAAGAAATCCGTCCAAATATATTAACATTAGAAGACCTGAAATGACTGACAAAGAAAAGCGGATCAGAAGTTTAATCGCTAAAACATCAGTTATAGCGCTGGAAGATATTAATGGAGCATTTCCACCAATTACAACAGCGAGATTTGGGATACAAAATTATTAAGTCACGTAAATAATCTTTCAGAAAAAAATTATAAGGGGCGGGGAGGTTTCGTCAAAACAGGAAGACATTGATCGAACATTTCCACCAATTACGAAAGCGAGATTTCCGTTATAAAATTAAAATTAACAAGAATGGATAACGGGAGAAAAGTTTTTGTCCAAACATAGGGGAGGTCAAGCGATCAGACGGAGGGAGAGTCCTATGAAAACGATGCGTTTTTGATAAAACGAAAATGGAGCATCTCGAAAACGCATTAGTGAGGACAGGGTCTAATTTACTACTGTTCATATGCTGTACAATAAATATATTTTTTACCGAATGTTTTGGTGTATAGTATAGCTGTGAATTTTTACGAGCTGTGCTGTATTTTAGACGAGCCCGCCGGCCAAATCAACTAAAATAAAACGAGTAAAAATGCTCAGCGATATTGCACACCCAAACGTTTAATCAGCAATTTATTATCCAACTACTATATTTCACCCGCATCTGTTACAAGGCGGGAAAAGCGAAGCAGAGAGAGAGGTGCAGCACGTGTAGCCGACCGGTTAAACAGGTTTTTTTACAGTACAAAATAACCAATTGTCCAAATACTGTGCTCGATTCGCACGTTATTTGTTCCCAGTGCAGTTGAATGATAAATAGAGAATAATACATGGGCGCGCGTAGATTTGGAATTTCTCTTCGAGCGTTTAACTCAATAGCTCATGAGTGAGCGCAGCGAACGAGTGACATGTCGAGTTGAACATGAGAAGAGAAATTCCTTATCTACAAGTAACCATATATTATTTTGTTTATCGCATAAACACAATAGCCTATTACTGAGAAGGAAAGCCGACTTCATTAATGAATGAAAATAAATGAATCGACAATTCCGGAATAACAATCGTAGAGTGCGTTGGCGGTAATTCTAAGGATGGAAAAATGCGCTGAATCATGATGACAAAACCAACAATGGTTGTAATTTTCAATTTACAAAATTCTTATTTATTGACTTTGTCCCTACCGACAGAAGAAGTCTTTCAGGTAAACGGCCAAAATCAGCTGGTGACAAATCTTCTAGTTGTCGATTTTCATTCTCAGCCGAGAGAAATGCTAATACCAAAGCCAGCTCTATGCATAGTACGCATCTTTCCTCGATATTTCCGTCAGTTGTCTACGATTTTCTGAGCTTAAAGTGTATATGACACGAAATTTTTTTTACTGTTTGTAAGTAACTAGATATATAAGATAAACGGTTTGAGAGTTAAAATTTGACAAAAATGCTTTTAAGCGAACTTCGCGCGAACGTGACCTGAAATGTGTCTCCTCGACCGCGCGGCCAAAAAGTCACGTGAGCTGAGGCTGTGACGTCAAGTTATTGTACTCTCACTTAACGACATGGCGGAAAAGAAGAAGCCAGTGAAAAAAGATGGACGCTATTGTGTCGCCGGAGCGCCCAACAATCAAAGCTGTACGAACACCAGCTACACGCTAGGCATCTCGATGCACCAATTTTTTGTGGATCGCGCTGTGAGAGAGTAATCGGTGAAATCTGTGCAGCGCCACCGAGCAGATTTCAAAGGATGCATGCCTCATTGTGTTCGGTTCATTTCGAGCGAAGTTGTTACGAAAACAGCTTGGCATTCACTTTGGAGGATATGGCGGACACGAAGCGGAATAGTCCTCATCAAGGGCTCTATTCCCACAATACATGCAGTTGTGTCAGTAGTTTCGGAAGAATTAACGGATCGCAAGAAGCGTCAGTTAAGCCGTGATTTCCAGTCATCTTTCGATAAGGTCAAATGTAATCGATCAGAATTTATTATATTTTGGCTCTAGTTGAGACGTGATGCATTGACAGAGTACGAGATGGAAGCGAAAAAGAGGAAAGTCGAAGAGGCGAGAGCATCAAGTTTTAACTCGTTAGATTTTCACGACGTCGTTGATGATAGAGTTGAGAAAAATCCGTGCTCCGATTCAAATGACATTCATGAGAGCCCCATCAATACAATTTCCACTGCATCCAATGTTACAATTGCTGCTCCTCTTCTGGCATGTACCACCCATTTGACTTCACCAGTTGCCTCGACATACGCAAATATTAGCTGTACAAATATTAGCTAAGCTTCCAAGCTGCAGATGAGTGATTTTTAACTTGGAATGTTCGCAAAACTATTGAATTTGAAAATGGAAAACTGACGAACGGATTTAAAGGCACTCAAAATAACTGAAAGGTTTGTACTCCTGTCACTTAATTTTGTTGAGGGTCATGGAGCATACCCTTTGTTTCCGTTTCTTTATATAGAATTCTAGAGCATGACATAACCAAAACAAGTCGTCTGCTGCAGTTTCATCGGAACATTTTCAGTATTTCCGGCGAACCTTTTCCGTAGTAATCACTGTAAGTCGTCACTGTGACGTAACTAATCGATACCTTAACTTATTCCCACTAATTATAATTTTTGAAACAATGAATAGGACCAGCATTTTCGTGAAAGAAAGTTTAATGGATACATTACAGATATCTAAAACAATTATGATGACTATGGAACTGTATTGAAACTCAAAGAATACAAACTGTAATGCCCTTGAAAGACCTTGAGACCCTAATTGACAAGAACTGATAACAACGTGAGCCGAGCGCGCTCAAATCTATTTTTATATAGTATTTTCCTTATTTCTTTTTTTCCTAATTTTTTTTTCTCCTCTCTGAAATGATGAATGTTAAAAAAAGCAACGGATACTCGATGTAAAAAGGTCAGCTCTGGAAAAGACCTGTTAGGATGAAAATGTGTAATTAAAATGATTGTATGATCTCTCTGCCTTTTTAGATTGCGCGTATCAAAAGCAGTGATTGAAGGTGTAAACATTTTATCGAGCGATAAAATAAGTCATTTTAAACATCTGAAAAACTGCCTATACAAGAAGCTTGAAAGAGCAGCGAGGGAGATCGGAAAAAAGAAGTGTAAAACTGATTGTTTAATTTTTCTTACCTTTTTTGAAATGAGTTATTCATTGTTTTCACGAGGAAGTGAGCGATTTACAATTCTTTGATGGAAAAATGTACTTGGCTCCACAGCCGTACGCTGTATATCGATCGCTGTCCCAATGTAGTTTCCTCCTGTCTCCAGAACCCCTCTCTGATGCGGTATAACATGCATCCCTATGGGAGCCGTCTCACCCACTCTAAGCTGTAGAGGCGTATCAGGTGTCGGGTTCTCTCTGTCTTGAACATCCATCATGGTAATGTCCCGTTCCGCTCGTTGCCGCCACAACTGCATCAAGACTAAATGGTTCTTGACGACGAAAAACATTGTTAAGAACAAAATAAAGAGACAGGCGAGGCTCACGATCTCAATAACTGACATTGTACCAATTTCTGAATAAATGGAGCTTCTGCCTGTAAAAGGAACCAAGTAGAAGTGGTCTACACGATGAACCTTGCATGTACTTGTTTTAGTTTAACACCACGTGACGACTAAGAAACCATCCTAACGAAGTTTTAACACGCCCGATCGCATTTGTATTTGTATGAGTGTATCACTCGCCTCCGGCGTCGGAAACGACACTTTTGGCAAAGTGTCTTCTCGCGTGTTCTCTGATGCGTAGTACACGAAACTGAGATAGGCCTTTGCATCGGCGCGAAAAACAGCTACGTAGCTTTCGACGTGAGGGAGCTCAGAGGGAAAATTAGTGAGTTAAATTTCGGCCCACACAGTTCAGAAAGTTAAAGGAAAACGACCGCGATTTGACTCATCATATGTTCCCTGATGCAATATGCTCACAGACAAGACAAAAAGCGCGAGTTTTCCTAAAATAACTCATGCACAGTTGCTGACCTTTGCATAAACGAGTAATTGTTCATGTAGCGTTCAATGGATAACCCTAGAACAAAGGGTTTATTTCCATTTCCTCTGTGGGATATTGATCAAATGAAGCCATTAAGTCGTGTTACAGGCACTTAAAGGCTTCATTTGATCAATATCCCACATCATGACGACATGCTACTAAAGGACACGTTCATAGCTAGCTACGTAGTACGGGAGTTTTAATTCTGCCTTAAAAACAGTATATTGCGCCCTTTTAATATTTTATGAAGGAATCTGTACAAAATGTATTTCCGCGGTAAGTCAGGCAAGTCTTTAAAATCGAAATAAATTTGATCTGAGCCCCTCTCCCAAAGGGGAAATTGGGTCCTTTTTAAGGAAATGACGTAACGTATGAAGATTAGTCAGTATTTCAGCATTAACCTAAGTGGTACCGTTAAGTGTTGAAACACGCTGTCTTTGGTTCAGGTTGTTGTAGGGGCAATACTTTTATTGCAGGTTTTTTTAGATTTTAGATCGAAAGAGTTTTTTGGTGATAGAAAATGCCGCTCGCACCTATGGAGAGTTGTGGACATCGAGTAACGATCACGTCTTTCTGTTTCTGCTTGCTTGTAACTGGATCTGTGGCTGGGCCGATATTGCCGTCAATTCTATGGAATTCTGAAAATCCATTGTAAGTTTATTTAATGGTATTCTGCCATCAACATTATTTTACGTGAAAACAGAAATTGAAGCGAAGTTCTTGATTCAAAGCTAACAATTTATGGACAAGACCGTTGACAGCTCATTATCATTTCGTTTCACAATGACGTTTTTACTTGTTATTGTGCCGAAGTTAAAACTAAGGAACATAAAAAGCGTTATAACAAGACAAGCAATCGCTATAAGCTAGAAAAGGGAAATCGTCTTGCGGCTCTTATTGTGGCAGACCTTTTTAAAGAACTCGATCGAAATTCTTGTTAGGGGGCAAACACAACATTGCGGTTCACCTGGCAACTTTTTGATCATTAAAAATTTATTTTGTTCTGGCCCGAAACAAGATCCTCAATACTATTTTCAAACGATCACCTCTGGACTTAATCATTTTATCTGAAAATTGTTTCAGGGTGCTCTCCTAGATTGTCGGGTTAGGGAACATTATACCTTATTTAAGGTTCGTAGACATTTGATGACATAAGTTTTGGTAACAAACAAACCGTAAAACAAACGAAACAAACGAAACAAACGAAACAAAGAAACTCCAAGTAAGCGCCATGGACAAATAGTGGTTGAGCGCTATATAAATATTTTATTATTATTATTATTAAATGTGAACTTGCTCAGCGCCCAACATCAGAGGTTTAAGCCATTCTTAATTAAACATATCTGATCCAATTTTATTGCTCTCTATTCCAGGTTTAATAACCTTCATGAAAGGACCAGAAATGTCATGGAATTTGACCAGCTCTCAATTATATGTCCCACCTTGGTGGACTACCCCATCAAAAGAACAATGGCCTACGTGTAGCCGTACCCTCCCTTGCAAGGTGAAACGGAAGCGAGGGAACGTCTACGCAAACGTGACACTAATCGTGTTCCGTGACGTCACTCTAACTAAAGCAAAATAATGTCACTTGATAATATTTTTTTACGAAGTACCTCGTGTTAGCGTGAAGTCGGTTATCGAGTTAAACAACAACATTGCAATGAATTCATTTTCCATTTGGGTAAATTTACAATTTAGCGTCCGAGTTCAAATATATAATTTGCTCTAAGGATATAGGAAAAGATTATGAGCGATTTTTTGGATAGAGTAAGAAGAGGACGATGTTCGATTATTATCACGCTTACGAAACTAGATTTCAACGCCCACGCGGTTTCTGCTTGCATCTGTAAACAGTACCAAGGTCGTCGAAAAAAATTGGATCATTTGCCGCAGAATCTCAAGGTTTCAACAGATTTCTTTAAGAGGTAGTTACGCCGCAAGCGCAATTCTTTTCTCAGTCGAAAGAATCGTTGCAAGAAACAACAAGCTTTCGCAAAGAGACCGAAAGTTAAAGGCGGACAATCCTCTTGGTCAAAGTACTTTAAGATAGTGCACCTGGTCTTCTGTGAAAGCTTTAATAAATATGGTGACCGGTTTGACATATTAAAGACATCGTCACAAAAGTTATGTTGAACAAAACATGCGTAGATAACATATGGAAGTTCTGCCAGGTTTATATCCAGCGGTCGTCGTAAATGTACCTGATCGTCCCTTTAAGCGGCCAAACACACACTCCATGATATCCATTCTTGCTCTGCACAAGGAGAATTGTGAAATCAATAAAGAGTCTTTATAAGAAGACAGAATAGTTGCAGCCATTGCATATGACAAGGATTCTCTTCAATTTCTCTCTCTCATGTTTTCTAAGTTGGTTGTCAAGAAGAGCTCTTATTTCAGCTGTTTTCTTTTGTTGATCCACACTCAAACTTGAAGACGGGTACGGAGTATCCGGGAACAGATCGCAGTGCTCACTAGTTGGCATCGCCTCAGAATTTGCCAACTCAGTATTTGCTGTACCATCAGTGGAGTAAGAACTTTGTGCAGAAATATTAGATGATTCAAGTCCTATGAAAACGCTGGCGTGGACGCAAAGAAAACGATGCATTTCTGATAAAACGAAAATGGAGTATCTCGAAAACGCATTAGTGGGAACAAGGTCTTATTTGCAGCCAGTTTACTGAAGCCGTCGGATGCCGAATTCACTACTGTTCATATGGTGCACAATAAATATATTTTACTGAACGTTTTGGTGTATAGTATCGCTGTGAATTTTTTACGAGCTGAGCTGTATTTTAGAATCAACTGAAATAAAACGATTAATAATGCTCAGTGATATTGCACACCGAAACGTTTAATGAGTAATTTATTATCCAACTACTATATTTCATCCGCATCTCTTACAAGGTGGGAAAAGCGAAGCAGAGAGAGAGGTGCAGCACGTGTGGCCGGCGAGGTTTGTCAGGAGACAATTGTTACCTAGACTACAAGCAGGCCTCCAACCGTCATGCAATTATGTTGAGGAATAGCAATTTATTCTGAACCGTCAACATAACAGATTCCTTATTCCTCAATAATCGAATTATGGTGATGTTGGTGTGCTTGATAATTAAACAGTTACCATTTGATTCACCTCACGCATTTGGTTACAGCTCTGTGCATTGTAAGCATCTTTCCCAGATATTTTGGTCAGTTGTCTACGGTTTTCTGAGCTCAGAGAATTATTTTGTTTAAAGCTAAGCTTCCAAGCTGCGGATGAGTGATTTTCAATTTTTTCGGAATATTCGCAAAACCATTTAATTGTATCAAGTCTCAGCGACTCGAGCAAGAATGACGTTCTTTTCAAAATAAGATCAAAACAGAAGCTACAAAAATAACGGGCCAGAGAGCGACATAAAATTGAAAACTGACGAACGGATTTAAAGTCAGTCCTGTCACTCCTGTCATTCTGTCATACCCTTTGTTTCTGTTTCATTTTAGAACACAATAGAAGCATAGCATGACCAAAACAACTCGTCTGAAGCTGTTTAATCGGAAAATTTCAGTATTTCCAGCGAAACTTTCTAGAAATCATTGTACGTCGTTAACGTTCCTAATCGATACCTTAACTTATTCCCACTAATTATAATTTTTGAAACAATGAATAAGACCAACATTTTCGTGAAATAAAGTTTAATGGATTCATTACAGATATCTAAAACAATTTAATGATTATGGAACTATATTAAAACTCGAACCAAACTGGGATGCCCTTGAAAGACCTTGAGACCCTGATTGACATGAACAGATAACAAACGGAGCCGAGCACGCTCGAATCTATTTTTATATAGTATTTTCCTAATGTCTTGAATTTTTCCTCTCTGAAATGATGAATGTTAAAAAAGCAACGAATACGTGGCGTAAAAGGGTCAGCTCTGGAAAAGACCTGTTGGGATGAAAATGTGCAATTAAACGGTATGATCTCTTTGTGCCTTTTTGTGTGCTGCTTATTTCTGCTTGGTTTAGATTGCGCATATTAAAAGCAGTGATTGAAAGTGTAAACATTTTATCGAGCGATAAAATAAGTTTTAACATCTGAAAAACTGGTCATGGGAGAAACTTGAAAGAGCAGCGAGGGAAATCGGAGAAAACGAGTGTAAAACTGATTGATTAATTTCTCTTACCTTTTTTAAAATGAGTTATTCATCGTTTTCTCGAGGAAGTGGGCGATTTGCCATTCTTCGATTGAAAAATGTACTTGGCTCCACAGCCATACGCTGTGCACCGATCGCTGTCCCAATGTAGTTTCCTCCTGACTCCAGAACTCCTCTCTGATGCGGTATAAAATGCATCCCTATGGGAGCCATCTCACCCACTCTAGGCTGTAGAGGTGTATCAAGTGTCGGATTCTCTCTGTCTTGAACATCCATCATGGCACCGTCCCTTTCCGCTCGTTGCCGGCACAACTGCATCAAGACTAAGTGGTTCTTGACGACGAAAAACATTGTTGAGAACAAAATAAATAGACAGGCGAGGCTCACGATCTCAATAACTGACATTGTACTGATTTCTGAATAAATGGAGCTTCTGCCTGTAAAAGGAGTCAAGTAGAAGTTGTCTGCACAATGAACCTTGCGTGTATTTGTTTTAGTTGTATATGGCCGAATCTCGAGACAACCTAAACATCCTCATAAAGTCAAACAACGCGCCCGATATCATTTGACATTGTATGTAAATCACTCGCCTCCGGCTCTTACTTGTTTCACGGAAACGACACTTTTAGCCAAGTGACTTTCGTGTGCGCTCCGCAGTGTTCAATTGATAACCCCAGAACAAAGGGTTTATTTGCGCTGGGAAATTTCGGGGCCCGTGGCTATAATTAAAATAATTCCATTTCTTCTATTTCATCGTTTATATTTAATAGTTTCCCTCAGCGTGAGAAACTGCTTCGTAGCTATCGACGTGAGAGAGCTCAGAGGCTGGTGTGGCATACAATCAATGAATTCATTTTCCACTCGGGTAAATTTGCAATGTAGGGTCCGAGTTCAAATACGATATACCAGCACAAGCTATATATATGAATTTCAAACAAATCCTGTTATCTGCTAAAAGACATTTTCCCTCTGAGCTCCCTCACGTCGATAGCTACGCAGCAGTTTTTCGCGCTCAGCGAAAATCGCGTTCTACGCGAAACTGTTAAATATAAACATTGAAATAGTGGAAATGGAATTATTTTGATTATAGCTACGGACCCCGGAATGTCCTTATGCAAATAAACTCTTTGTTCTGGGGTCGATTGAACACTACTTGAACAAGTATTCGTTTATGCAGAGGTCAACAACTGTGCATGGCTATTTTAGGAAAACTTGCGCTTTTTGTCCTGTCTGAGAGAATATTGCTTCAAGGAACACACTCAAATAAGTATTGTACGTGAAATCATTTCATGACGCCAACCTGAAGAAGAGACCGCAAGAATCTGTAATAATCTTGGCCATTTCATGCATGAGGAATAACAAATTCCTCGTAATGATTTTGTGATTACGCTTAAACGCTCGATGGCATGATTTTCTACTTCTCCTGTGGAAAAAATCATCAAAGATTGGATTTCCGCTTTACTTTAAGGTGCTGGGAGGACACCATATTTAACCTGCATTACCGCTTGTGACGTTTAAGGCTGGGTCTGAAACAAATGTCTGTCAGGGGAGGGGTTGGTATGGGCGCTTATATTTTAAATAAATTCTCGTACGGGAGTTTTAATTCTACCTTAAATCTTGTCGGGTTAGGAAACATTATACCTTATTGAAGGTTCGTAGACATTTGATTATATAAGTCCTGGTAACAAATAAACTGTAAAACAAACGAAACAAAGAAACTCCAAATGTGAACTTGCTCAGTGCCCAACATCAGAGGTTAAGCCATTCTAAATTAAACATGTCTCATCCAATTTTATTGCTTTCTATTCCAGGTTTAACAACCTTCATAAAAGAACCAGAAATGTCATGGAATTTGACCAGCTCTCAATTATATGTCCCACCTTAGTGGACTACCCCATCAAAAGAACAATGGCCTACGTGTAGCCGTACCCTCCCTTGCAAGGTGAAACGGAAGCGAGGGAACGTCTACGCAAACCTGACGCTAATCGTGTTCCGTGACGTTACTGTAACTAAAGCAGAATAATGTCACCTGATAATATTTTTTTACGAAGTGCCTCGTGTTAGCGTGAAGCCGGTTATCGAGTTAAACATCAACATTGCAATGAATTAATTTTCCATTCGGGTAAATTTGCAATTGCAGCGTCCGAGTTCAAATATACAATTTGCTCTAAGGATATAGGAAAGGATTATGAGCGATTTTTGGATAGAGTAAGAAGAGGACGATGTTCGATCAGCATCACGCTTACGAAACTAGATTTCAACGTCCACGCGGTTTCTGCTTGCATCTGTAAACAGTACCACGGTCGTCGAAAAAAGTTGGATCATTTATCGCAGAATCTCAAGGTTTCAACAGATTTCTTTAAGAGATATTTTTGCTGCAAGCATTAAGAAAGAGCGACTCTTTTCTCAGTCGAAAGAATCGTTGCAAGAAACAACAAGCTTTAATTAAATAGCTTCGCAGCACCGTTCGCAAAGAGACCGAAAGTTAAAGGCGGACAATCCTCCAGGTCAAAGTACTTTAAGACAGTGCACCTTGTCTTCTGTGAGAGCTTTAATAGATATAGTGACCGGTTTCATCTACAGAAGAGAGGCGATCGATCACTGGCGCTGCTTGATATATTAGAGATATCGTTACCTTCGGAAAACGTATCTATGGCTATCTGCTGTTCTTCTTGAAATGTCTCTATCCCAAAATTCGCGCAAACTTGACTTAAATCCTATTGGTAGATAGCTGTTGTCTAAAAAGTTGAATGTGAAAGTGTTTGTTCTCCAGTTCGTTAGTATGAAAACAAATTACCAAATCTAGCCAATCAGAATTGACGAAAGAATCAACCAAAGGGGTTAACCAATAAAAAGTCAATATATATTTTCTTGCAAAAGAGTGACTTCACGGAACATGATTAGTGTCAGGTTTGCGTCAGTAGACGTTGCCTCGCCTCCGTTCTACCTTAGGGGTGGGGGGAGGGTACGGCTACACGTAAGCCAAAAGAAAAACTATTTATTTGAAAGACTCGTTGTATGAAAATGTATGTATCGTAGACAAGAAGGGTTGTGACAACTGTAATGCAACAGGAGGACTCAGTGTTTTATCCTGTAATGATCGAGTGAGATACATTTATTACAGGGTTGTATTTCAGCCTCATACGGTTAATCCAAATGATCCAAAGTCAGTGAGAAAGGGAAATACTTATACTTTATAAGTAAGTGCTAATGTTTCAAGATGGTTACAATTACAATTTTTTTCCCCTAAATTCTGGTTAACTGCAATCCATTGACTTCATTCCATGCATAGTTTAGTTTTTTAGTTTTGCTGCATTTACTTTTTAATGCTGCAGTTTTATGTATTTCATTTGAATTCATTTGAAAATTTTTTTGTTTGTGAAGAGGTCTTAAATCATAAGGAGAAGGGCCAGGTTTGTACCCAGTCTACACTAAACTCTGGCGACTGCATTTTAATTTTACATGTATTGAGCTTTCTTGAATGTGGGCTACAAATAAAAGAAAATATTTCTCTAAATTTTTTTTGCAAGGGTTTTGTGGTTTCTGAGAAATGACCCGTCGAAGCTGCTTTTATTGCTGCCTGGATAAGTCATTTTCCCATTAATTACGTATATTTGGTCAGAGAGAAGGAAAGTCAACATCATCTGGCTGTAATTATTGAAAGAAATGTGGTTGTTATGTTTTGTACTTGTATTGTTAGGGAGAACAGAAGAAAAGCAAAGAGGTTGCTACAGAACTTACAGCTTGAGCTAGTCTCATAACTTTTCAAAAATTGACTTTAAAGTCCCAAAAAAAAGGAGAAAACCAAAAGTTTTTTTCAACTGTCAGTTTGAAAAGGTCAGCAGACTGATCGCTTTGGCTAAAGGTCTTCTACTTGGTTACGCACTCTGGATGTGTTCAAGTGATAACGCCTTTTATCATTCAACTACACTGGGAACAAATAACGCGCGAATCGAGCAAAGTAGTCGGACAGTTGGTTATTTTGAACTTTGAAAAAACCTGTTTACCGATCGGCTACACGTGCTGCACCTCTCTACCTGCTTTGCTTTTCCCGCCTTGTAAGAGATGCGGGTGAAATATAGTAGTGTATTTGGCATCCGACGGCTTCAGTAAACCGGCCGCAAATTTGTAAAACAGTTTTAACACCCCGTTCCCACTGATGCGTTTTGGAGATGCTCCGTTTTCGTTTTATCAAAATCGCATCGTTTTCTTTGCTTCTACGCCAGCGTTTTCATAGGACCTGAATCATCTAATATTTCTATCCAAAGCTCTCCCTCCACTGATGATACAGCAAATGCTGAGTTGGCAAATTCTGAGGCGATGCCAATTGGTTAGCAATGCGATCTGTTCCCAGATAGTCCGTATCGTCAAGTTTGAATGCGGACAGGCAAAAGAAAACAGCTGAAATAAGAGCCCTTCTCGACGTTAAACTTAGAAAACATAGGAGAGAGAAATTGAAGAGAATCCTTGTCATATGCAATGGCTGCAGTTATTCTGTTTTCTTATACAGACTCTTTGTTGATTTCACAAAAGTTATGTTGAAAAAAACATGCGTAGATAACATATGGAAGTTCTGCCAGGTTTATATCCAGCGGTCGTCGTAAATGTACCTGATCGTCCCTTTAAGCGACTAAAGACACACTCCATGATATCCATTCTTGCTCTGCACAAGGAGAGATCAAACTATTGTTCTTGGATAGTACTGGTTTACTCTTTCATCAAAAAGGACATGAGTGGGTAGGCAAGGTCTCCAAGTAAAAAGACTGGGATGGGGTCTTCATCTTCATTTATTTCCTTTGGCATGGAGGGAATTTTTTCCACTTTTCAAAAAATAATTTATTGAAGAATAAACAAACAGCCTCGCATCATGCTCACTTCCAGGCCATTTTACGTTGACATCAATAAACTGATAACAGTAGTCACACACTGCTTGGACATTTCAACTATAACACTGTTTTCGGTTTATAGAGATCTCTATAGTATGTTGTATTTACCGCGTGTTGTTTGATCTTAATGAGAGTCTCATCTATTGCCCCAAAACATTGTGGAATAACAGGAGCTTTTCCAAACTGAGCCACCAGTTCCTTTTCCTCATTCTCTGTGAGAGGAAGTTCTACGCGAGTTCACTGCGTCAGATGCTAAATTATTGCAGCGCATTCCTCCCTGACAATTTTTAGAGACAACTTGCCAACTCGCTCTTTGTGGCGTTGAAAAATTGCTTGGCTGGCTGCTCAAAAAGATCATCGGCAGAGTCAATGGTGTTACCATCATTTCAAATTCATTAGTTGGACTGTAACCTCGCTAAACTTCTAAGTACCTAACTCCACGAACTGGCAACGAATCACCATTGAAGTTGATGATCTATTAGCTTGTCCGACGGACACAGTTCCTCGCACATTTCACATGGTAAAGCTGTAACAGTGCTTTCGCTTTCTTGCGCCAAATTTTTCCCGCTTTCGTCGGCGCTTGAGGCCGCCTAATCGCTTGACCTCCCGTCTGTTTTGACGAAAACGTTTCGCCCGTTATCCATTCTTGTTTCTGAGAGGTTGTTTTCGTGACTTGATTACTTTATATCGCAAATCTCGTTGTTGTAATTGGCGGAAATGCTCTATCAATATCTTCCAGAGTTATAACTGAACTTTTCGCGATTAAACTTCTGATCCGCGTTTCATTGTTAGTCAATCCAAGTCTTCTAATGTTAATATATTAGATGGATTTCTTTTTCAAATACACACGAGGCTTGGATTGCTTCGTGAAATAATGTATATTATTCTTCTTGTAGACCGGTTAAGTTTCTCTCTTATCTCTAAACCCCATCTAAAGCAAATACTGAGATTTTCCTACAAAAGGAGTTGTTTATTTTAGATCATAGCATGGATAACTTCGTCAGTCGTCTGCGTGAAAGTTAAATTTGGCACCCGTATTGACCTCTTCAAGAGGAAGCATGAAAATAAGTTACTTTTTCCCGCTTCCGGCTGCTTCACCCACAGCGTGAACCAAAGCGGCCTGCCTCGCAAGATATAATTACGAAAAACAACAAATCGTATTCAGGTTAAAATCAGCGTAGTTGCATGACCGTACTCCAAGTCAAAGTCCAGCTGAACACTTTAAAAAAAAAGGAATCTAATACCCTATTCACACCAGCAAAACATGTTTTGTTAAACTGGTTTTTACTGAATGAAAATCATAACCAGAGAACTGAAAAACTTAATTCTCCATAAGATTCAAGTGCTTGCTAACTTGCATTTCCAATGTGCTACATTTTAAGTAAAAAAATATTAGGTTAAGTAGTTTCTACGAAAAAAAACTTTTTTTTAACAAAAAAAAACTTTAAAACATGTTTAAGCTTTGGTGTGAATGGGGTATCAGTTAAAAATTGGCATGCTCCAGCAAACTCGTGCGACCTTTGCCGAAAAAACAGACAACATTCATCGCGCGAATATGCAGGTGACCTGAGAAAAAGTCACCCCCAAAACTGATCAGTAAAAAGTTCCTGACCACGCCTGAAGTGAAAGTTGAAGTCGAACCTCCGCCAACACAGTCCTAAAAAACTGATATATAGTGTATTTGTATTCCAAATAGGTCCCGCCATGCGTTAAACGCAACTGGTACGCAACTTGCGATTTTTTTTGGGCCCGATGAAGTTAGACCGACGCCGGGCCTCTCATCGCTCTGCCTTTTACGGGTCCTTACGCTTCAGAGCGCACACAAACTATTATCAGCTACGCAGGCTACCACCAACTACGCAGGCTAAAACTGATGTACAGTTTTGACATAATACGTTCTATCAACCCTTGCACCCCTATCATGCTACTCATTTAGCTAGTTTTTTAGCTGTACGTTGCAAAATTACTAATTTATTTCTCCCGACGATGTTTATCATTGATTGATGTTTATCAAGGTTAAGTAGAGCGGCCTATAAAGAACAGCATTAGGAATGCTTAGTATACCATTTAAGGTAATCTCATGGGCCCCATATCCTGGAGAACGGACAGAAGGAAATCACAGGAGGTGATCATTCTTATTAAAACCCTTCCCTTTAGTCAGTTCGCTACCACAATTGACTAGGCTCGAGAGTTAATAAATAAGTTCTAATTTTCATTCAAAAAACGTTTAATTTCCTTGCTGGGGTCTACTTTAGAGGCTTGTTTCAATTTTGCCGCAGTAACTGAACCGTATGGATACTGAGCCAATTAATGCTGCTTGCTTCATCTAGATGGTTGTGATAACGTGCTGTATTATCAAACTCCTCCACACGGTAAGAAACATGCAGGCACCGGAAGGGGCTATTACGGAACCAACCAGAACCATTTATGATCAGAGTGTCTTAGGAACAGCCAGGGAACCCACTCCTCGTCGGAGCAGAGCTGTGGAAAGGATGTAAAAATTGTATGATGATGCCTTTTTTATTTTTGTCATCGTACTTTCTATCATATTCTTCTTCTCTAATATCTGCACTTGTTTTAGTGGAAGCGGAACTGCATCTCATAACCACTCTTAAGGTTGGGAACAAAAACAAATCTCTCCTTAGTTACGAGCGCTAAATGTGTGCGAGTTATACAGAGTATCTGAAAACGTATTTAAAGAATTCAGCATCCGACGGCCTCAGTGCATTATACATAAGATTTTTAAGCTTTTTAAAATATGAAAGACTGGAAAAGTGCATCGTGGCATTTTCAAAAAATTTTACTCTTTTTTTCAAAGGAAAACAATTCTTTTTTTCGGAAATCGCAATGGTTATGATTAATTGGTAACAGAACTTCGTGTCGTCCAATTCTGTCTGTAATCATACTAGTGATTGACAAATCGGACTCCCGTTTCACCGTCGTCCGATTTCTATTGGAATTGGACTCTACTCGGTCCTATTACCATTATTAATCATAACCTTAACAACTTCCTCCAATGTGATTGGTGCATTAGCCGGCCTCTGATTATTCTGTAGAGTTTTCTTTAGACTATGCCTCTATCGGAGATATTTTCTCGAATAATTATACTTGTTTTTTCGGAAATTGTAATGGTTATGACTGATTAACTGGTAACAGCACTTCTTGTCGTTTATTACGGTCTGTCATCATACTCGTGATTGACAAATCAGATTCCCGCTTCTCGGTCGTCCGATTTTGTAAATCCTCGTACGTTAGAGACCGAAGTTTACTCCACTCGGTCCTTTTACCATTATTTATGCCGAAGAAAATCGGTGATGAACGGTATTTGCTAATCACTTCTGAATTAGGCGGTAAGCGCACACAAGTTTCAGTAGCCCCCCCGCCCCCTCAGGAGGAATGGAAGGAAGGCTAGCGATTGATAAAGAACTTCATCCAACCTAGTTATCAACTCCTACTGAAGGAAAATCTCAGCAATTACTGGAGATGACGGGTTGAAGATTAGTGATTTATTAATGTAAGAGTTTTCAAGAAGAGGAGGCTTTCACAGACAAATCAATGCCTCGAGTGTATTTGTACCCGTCTAATGTACAAGTTCTAATGAACATTAGATGTCTTGGAAATGTCGAAAGCGGATCAGAAGAAAATCGCTAAAAGATATTGATGAAGCATTTCCACCAATAACAACAGCGAGATTTGCGTTGTAAAATTATCAAGTGGCGTAAATGATCTCTCAGAAACAAGAATGGATTACGGGCAAAAAGCTTTCGTCAAAACAGACAAGAGGTTAGGCGATCAGACGACCTCAAGCGCCGACGAAAGCGAAAAAAAATTGGCCCACGAAAGCGGAAGCATTGTCATAGCTTTACCGTGTGAAATATGCGAGGAACTGTGTCCGTCGGACAAGCTAATAGATCATCAACTTCAATGCCAAAAGGAGAGAGAAAATGCAAAACGAAGCGAGTTGAAAGATACTTCATTTGAAACACAAGAATTCACGTTTAATGGATGCAACACCGGTGCAGTTCATGGAGTTAGTTACATAGAAATTCAGCGAGGGTACAGTCCAACTGTAGAATTTGAAGATGATGGTAACACTTATAACTCTGCCGATGATATTGCTACAGATTTCTTTTTGAGCGGTCAGCGAAGCGATTTTTCAACGCCGCAAAGATCAGAGCCCTTCGCAAATGGCAATAATAACTCCTTTTCCAGCACGAGATATGTTGAAATCCAGCGGAGTTACAGCCCTATGATGGAGTTTCAGGATGAAAATTCTCCCGAACTTTTCGCACACAATATCCCGGAATTTATTCACACTCGAGATTCGACAAGAGCCTCTGAAAATCGTCATCAGACAAATAAAAAGCATTAAATAATGGACAAAAAGGATGATCAGTGATGGGTGAAATTCATATTCTCGCAAAACTTTACCGGACGAATAGTTTGAGTTGCTCGGTTTGATAAAGTTGAAATTTGTAAGAAATGCACATAGGGGAAACTATGGTGTGCTTTTCGCCGAGGCAGAAAATCATGAAACGCGTTTGTAAACAAGGTGCTTTTATTCTGATTAAGTAACTATGTACAATATGATAAAACACGTCTATTCAAAAGCTCATATCAAAGTGATGCACGTAACATCAGTATGCATATTCTGTATATTGTTCTCTAGACATTTCCAAAGGTGCTGACAAGGAGAATCGAAAGCCTCTTTGGTTGGTGATCATTTTCTCTGTTCTCGTGACCTTAAAGTGTGATTCAAGGATGTTATTCTGGGAAGAAATTAGATGCTAGTCATTCTTAAGGGTTAAAGGATTACTTTAGTCTCACATTCCATAAGGAGGAATGACTAGTTACGATTTAAATGCAACGCAACGTTTATTGATACCAAAGATGACCAAAGCAGCGTTCCATCAGCAAAGGATCAACGGCTTTCGCGTCTCAAGTTCTGTCAGCCTTTTATGATAAAAAATTCTCCTTTGACTTAAGTCTCACACCACACAAGAACTGAGTTATAAAAATGATTTCGGCTTACGAACGCTTATAAGTCTAAACTGAATAGAATAATCAGAGAAAAATAAAGCGCGCTAATGCACCAATTGTAACTGAATAGAGGAAATATTGCCTAGTACATGTAGAAGCATTGCGATAAAGCCCGTAAAAATGTTATTTCTGGCTTCCAGTCGCTGAAATGAAAATCGTTCTAATTGTTGAGAAATCCTTAGCGAGAAAAAACGTGCAAAGAGACTGGAAGAGACGTAACGAGCTACCAAAAATGGATTTGGTGCATTTTAGCGGTAACTAATTAAGTTCATTCATCAGCTGTAGCTTGCGGTCAAGTTTCTCTCAGCTTCACTAACCGGATGCACTTCACACGCATACAAAACCGCCGGCTGCGTAGGTTACATGTACTTACGGCCCGCCGTAGTTGTCTTTAAATACAGCCTGGTGTTATAACATGGAGAAAACACTGGTGGAATCACTCATGGCCCTGTCCAATCGTGGTTTCTTGGACGCCGGTAAATCTATTGCAGAATTTGTGCGTTGAAGTTTCTGAAAGAGAAACCAAAAATTACAGCTTGTTTGCGCCATTTGACAAAATTTAAGTTGTTCCCTTTTTTCGTTTTCAGTTATTCTGTTAAAATTTTGCACCAACTGTCAAAATTTATGTCGGCTTTTCTTTCGAGTTATTTCATTGAAATTGTCCCTGATGAAATCACGCACTTTTCCCGCAAGATATGCCATTCTCAAATATCGCAAAAATGCGGAAGATATGTCTCTGAGTCAAAATTATAGCTTCACTGGAAACTATTTTTTTATTACAGTTACAATCGTAATATGGCTTTTGGTCAGACTCCTATTTTTTGCAAAATTCTCAAACAAACTTAACAGATTACTGGTAGAAAAACTCAATGGACAAAGTGGAACTTGAACATTCAGTTTGACGTGATTTTAAGTCGCATCGATGTTCGTAAACTCTATTGGCACGTCACATACCTTTGCATTAGAGTCGTTCTTGCCAGAAGGTGACACAGTGTGGAACACAAATCCTCGTGTTGTGGCGGACGCATTTGGTGTATTGGATGTGAGCGATGAAAGTCTTGACAGAGTCGTTTTACTGTGCTTCAGAAATGATCCTTTAAATGACTGCAAAAGAAGACAAAAATAATGCTTGACAAACTTTCGATTATAACTTTGGAATTCACAAAAAGAGGAGCTTGAAACAGACCGTTCGTAGGAATACTGAAGTGGATTAACAGTCCCTTTAGTGAACGACTGTGAATATATGAATATCATATATCTGAACTGCGAATTAATAAACGAGAATGAGAGAGATCGTCGCAATAATGAACACCACTTAAGGAATAGTGAAAATAAAGCGTGGAAAAAAATTCAGGCCTGTACAGGATTTGAACCCATGACACCTCTGATACCGGTGTAGTGGTCTACCAACTCAGCTAACAAGCTAATTGGTAACTGGTCATTATTTTGGTTCTTAATAAACCCGTGAAGTGATGAGTAAATGACTATGATTATCTGAATATATTAAATTTGAACTGCGGATTAATAAATGAAGCCGAGAGTGATCATCGCAGTAATGAACACTACTTAAATAGTTCTTAAGTACAAGAAGTCCCTTCAGTTGTACCCACACAAACAGGGAGCCGCGTCTCGGCACACTTACATTTTTTTTCTTTACCGCTGGTGCCACGTTGTTTTTGTAGTTCAGTATGATTGCTTGAGGCTTCACTGGAGCTGTACGACACACAAAAAGGATGAAAGGGAAAAGGAAGAAACATAATTATTAAGCACAGTTACGTAGAAAACTGGGAACGAAAGTTGAGAAAATTGGTGAAAAAACGTCAATAAAGAAAACAGAAGCCCTGGCCCTACCTTCTGGTAATTGACTGCTCGTATCTTTAATTTTATTGAGAATATTTTGGCTGTTTTCGTCGATATCTAACATATTACTCTCTTTCTTTTTTTCCTGTTGAAAGTAAAATAAAACAGAGGCAAAGAAATCAATTGCTTCACCGCTCAGAAATACAAAAATACTCCAAAGAATTTGAAAGACTCAGTAAGCTTGTTTGCGTCTAGAAATGGGCTCGTTACACGCACATAAAAAAGAAAACCAAAGCTATCACCTCAACCAATCAAAAGATGCAATCGACCTCAAGCGCGGGAAAACACCAGTGACCGGGTGCGTTTGCTCTCAGCTATACAAACGATTGGTCCGGAGAATGGCGCCAATTTTCTAGACCAATGGCATACCAATGTGATGCAAAACCAACGCAATCCCGAATGACTTTTCTTACTCAATTAAAAAAATTGCTTTATCTTATGGCATAGGGGCCAAAGAGAGTTTCACCCTACCAGTTCTTCTCTCAGAAACGTTTCTCTTTCATATCTTTCCTTGCGTCTCTGTATCTCTTCCTCGGTACTCAGTTCAGTGGCCTCTCCCTCTTCGTCGCCCCACAAGCCTTTATCACCGAACAGATTAAACTGTGAATTCTCATCAATACCCCTCCATCGGAAGTGCCTTGTCCGGCCCTGCCCATCTGAGTATAGATCGCCATCAGGAAGAAACATTTCTTTGACAGCTCTTAGTTCCGCGTTGTCCTGGTCGTGGATTGATTTCCTGCAAGAAAGGTATAGAATTTTTTCTTTTGCAGAACTCCTTCTGTGTCAGTACCTCGGCGCAGAGCTGTGGCCTTGGGTTCCAGACCTCTATCAACCTTTGCTGGATTACGGTGTTTTATTCTAGAGGCAAAACACTTCACACCTACAAGCCCCTCTTTTCCCAGGACTATGAATGCGAATTTGCTTAAAACTTAACAAATTTCTGGGGAGAGGGGAAGGGAGGAGGGGGGAAGGGGTTTACCGGCAACAGATAAAAACCTTTTTTACAAGGAACAGCAATACTCTGATTACCGCTAAGAAATCTCAAATAAATTTTTAGCAAGCCCCGCAAGGTCCGCAATATCATAAGTACAAGAAATAAACCCACAGATCTGTTCATTTGATGATAAATACCGCTTACATATGAACTTTATTAATCTGTTTCTGCAGTTCTTCATCAGATGGTAAATCCTCTCCTCCAGACTCTTCGTCCAAAACATCATCATCTGTGGCAATATCTTCATCTTCATCAGATCCTACATCACTGCCCGACAGCTCAGCTTCCTCCTCCAAAAAATTCCTCTTGTCAAAAACGTTCCTATACGCATCCAAACAGGAGAGCAGTTAGCCCTTTATACCCTAACATCAGTATGCATATTCTCCATACTGTTCTCTATACATTTCCTAAGGAGCTGACAAGGAGAATTTGTGTAAGAATCAAGAGCTGCTTTTATTGGTGATCATTTTCTTATAATATTCTTGTGACCTTCATGTTTGATTCAGGGAATATTGTAGGGAGAAATTAGATGCTAGACAATTAAATTGGTAAACCCTTTAACTCCCATGAGTGACCAAGACAGAATTTCTCCTTACCATATCATTATAATTTCAAGCAGATAAGTGATGAGAATAAAGAAAAATATCAATTTGGGGATTATTAGTTGATCCAATAGCAAATTCTCCAAACTAACATCACAAGAACTATATGGCAGACTGTAAGGAGAACTACTGATGAGATCTTGGGAGTTAAAGGGTAAAAAGGTTTAAATCAAAATCACCTCAGATGTCAATGATAAGAATAATGTGGTAAGAGCTACAAAAAAGTGAAAAAAAAATAAACATGTCAATGAATAACATACTTTTTCTCTGTCCCGTAAGTCTTGCCATACTTTCTTTTAAGAATCATCTCCTCGGGATCACTCTCTTCATCATCATTATCATCACCATCATCACTCTCCTTGCCCTGTTTTTTGTCGCTCTCGTCACCATCAATCTTTCCCTCTTCTTCGTCAACCTCTGATCTGCTTTGCTCTGGATCCTTTTCCTGCCTTTCTAACACATCATCAACTATCTCATCATCATTATCACCATCACTAAACTTCCCTGAACATAAACCCAGTAGTTCACTCATATTGTGTTGCTTGCTTTGTGTGTCAAATTTTGAGTTTTTCTTCTGCCCCTTTGTATTTTTTTGACTTTCGGTGTTATGAAGAGGTTGGCTGTCTTCGTTGTCACTAAATCTTCCAGAACACAACCCAAGCAGCTCCTTCATGGCTGGCTGGGTATTCCCACTGATTTTGTCATCAAAAAGTTTCTTTGTCTTTGCTTGGCTCTTTTTACTGGAGTTCAGGAAGCTGCAATGGAAATATAAACAAACAAGCAAATAACAACATGATGCAAATGTATTGTTAGCAGTCATTGTGACAACTTTTTGCTCCAGAAAGAAAGAAAAACACAAATTATTGGGAATATGGAAAACAGCTTAAAAACTACAAGCATATTATATGTATGTTGCATTCATAACAAGATTACATAGACTGAGATAAATGTTGAATTCTTGATGATTTTCCATCTCCCAGAATTTTCAGTATTAATCCCATCATAAAAAACATTTTACTTGCCCTGTGGATTGAAAATCAAAGCCATGATCTCACAGGTGACTAACTTTAGCAATGCAGAAAAGAAGCATGTGGAAAAAATTCAGGCTCCAAAGGAATCCAAACCTGTGCTTGGGATCACTGGTCTATTTTACAAATCACTAGTCAGAAAATGTCCTCTTTCTTTTAATTTGTAGCTCTCTAAGCCATTCTGTACCTTTTTTCTGTCTTTACAATGCAATGCAGTGATCAACATCAGCCAGAAAAGTTGACATTTCTCCATAGGTTATTTTTTAATCAACATAGTACAAAAGAGCATAAGGAAAATAAAAAATAAAAATTCTAACCATTTTTTTTGGATAAGACTTCAATATGTAAAGAAGCATGCAAAAATTTACTGCACCTTTATAGAGAACATAAAACCAAAGGGGATTTTTCCGTGAGAGCCATTCAATAATGGAACTCTGAACCAAAACAAAATGACGTACACAAGGATGCAAAGAAAATTGATTTTTCAGCTTAGCCTTTGGGCAAGTTGTAACCTTTTCCACGTTTCCAAAGGGTCTGCTCATTGGCTTTTCCTCAGTTGCAGACAGAAAAGTGAAAATTTTTGACTTGCTTTTTAAGCAAATGATGAATGAATCCACTGGCCCAAGTGGAAAACCAACTAGCCAAGGATTACAAGACAGGACTTTCCTAACTCACTGTGTACACCTGTACATCTGAAAGAGTCAGAAAAAAGGCAAAACCATAGAACTTCCAAGGAAGGTAAGACTAACCCCTGAGTATTCAGTATTTGAGTGAACTGTGTGTCTTCATCAAGAGAAAAGTTGAAATCACTAGACATGGGCTCTGATCCTGTTTTTAGTAGCTGAGAGTTGTTGTCTTCAACATTCCTATCACTCTCATGATCAAACAGGTCCTGAAAAATAAGTTGGTTGAAAATAAATTGGTTTTACTTTAAATTTCAATCAAAATCTCAATAACTTTGCAAAATTTTCCAGTCACAAATTGAATTTTTTTCCCAGAATACACTATAGAACAGAACTCTCTGTTAGATAAAGAATTTGATAATTACAGGTACCCATACAGAGTAAGAGAAATTCAACAGAGAATATCAGTGAATCAACATTAGTAGTTTATGTGAATTGTATCACCTACCTGGGAATCTTCAACAGGAAGTGTGAGCTGAGATAATTTACCAGACTGAAAAACAAATGGAATAAATTTGTAGGTCTTATGCATGAGATATAAATGCATAAATTAGCCATGCCTTTGCTCTCTATTGTGAGAGTAAAAACACATCTGAGCTAAGTTCACTGTTTTCACACCAAGTAAAAGCAAAATAAAGTATATCAGAATTATTACCTTCTTTACAGACAGTGCATCACCATAATTTCCCATGCCCATGAGGTGTCTGACTCTGGAAAAAGATGAGAATATCTCGGGTGTTTTCTTTCCTGGACTTCTGTCTTCATCCATTCCAAGGACTCTATTATCCCCCTGTCCAGGGGGTATCACATTGCTGTCACTGCTGGCTTCAAGACTGTTCGCATTCCCACCAAACTCTGAACCTAACCCTCCCCCAAAACTTGACTGGCTGGACTCCTGTGATGCCTCAGAAATATTGGCCACATTTTTGCTTTTAGCCTTCATCTTTGATAATAATGGCGAGCTAGGAAAGTGGAAATTTGTATCATCACCGTCTTCCAAACTGTCTAGCCGCAGACAAAGGCTTTCCACACTCTCTCCAGTACCTTTTTCACTGTTACTGTTATTTTCTAGAGAACCATCATTTTCCGGTCCTCTGGAACGGCTGTCACCAAAACCAAAAAGATCCATAGTTTCCTCCTTAGGATGAATGGTTGATTCTTTTGTTTGTTTTGGTTTCTTTTTCATAGAGTGATGAGATTTTAAAACAGAAAATTCACTATCACTAAGAACAGAGTTTTCATCTGCAGTATTGTCATTTTCACCATCATCACTGACATCTCCCTCAGATCCTGAGTCAATGTCATCTCTGCCATTATCAAAATCATCATCATTATCACTTTCATCTGCTTCATCATCTAAAAAGTCATTTTTAGCCTTTTTGTCTTCTTCATCTTCCCCATCCACTTCACTGTCGCCTTCCTCTTGCTTTCGTTCATCGTCTTCATTCCACTTGTCAAGTTCATCATCAGATTCATCTGCACAAAGATAATGAGTGGCATTCTTTCTCAACATCTTCCATGACTGACCAAAGAAATTTAATGTCTTCTCCAAGTGATTATCAGAGCAATATAATTTCATTTTTCTTTCCCTTTCTTTATCTCAATTCTCAGAATTTTTGGCAAACAGTAAAGTCATCATATTGAAAATTGGTGTTTAAGAGCTGTAATCAAAATGTGAGAAGGGGGAATTGTTAACTGTATCTTGGAATCTTGACGCATCACAGTACAAGATTTCTGGGCTAATACAGATCTAACATTACATAGCAATCTAACCAGCCTAGAATAAATTTAACCCTTTAGCTCCCATGAGTGACCAAGACAGAATTTCTCCTTACAATATCAATTGGATAAGTGATGAGAATACAGAAAAATATCAATTTGGGGATAATTAGTTGATCCAATACCAACTTCTCTGAACTAACATTAGAGGAATTGTATGGTTGAAAGTAAGGAGAATGACAAATCTGATCTGGGAGTTAAAGGGTTAAATTGTAATGTAGGCCATGTAGGTTGTACATCCACCTTCTTCATCTGTCATCTCTTCTTCCTCTTCTTCTTCCTCACTCATTTCTTCATTGTCTAACTTCCGTTGAGATTCTTGTATTTGCCTATTTTCTGCTCGTTTTACTCTCATTTCTTTTTGTAATTGTTCCTTCAGAAGTTGAAGCCTGGAACCTGTGGCAAAACAATTGAAGTATATTATTTAAACTCTCAACAAGAGGCTACATGGCCAAAATGATCCTTGATTTACTTGGCAGTAAATGTAGATCCATCAGTTCCTTTGCACCATCAAACTGCTATATTGTATTCAATTGATTCTATCTCAACAAAAAAAAAAACAAGACATAAGAGCTCAACCATTGCCCATAAATAATGCCACATATGTACATGTACGAAGAAACACTAAACTTTAATAAATGCAGCAGCATTTAATTTAGTTCATACCACATTTAATATTCCATTTTGATGCCTGACCTTGGATTTTTTACTTCACTTTTATGAAGTTGTTTTACTAATAAACATTTTCTGTAATCTTAAGCTATTAAGCAAATTCACCAAAATACTATGTACTATGTCCAGTATAACAAAAGTAGCACAAACAAGACTCACCAGGTGTCTTAGCAGTCATGAGTTTCTCATTACAAAGGATTGGGTTTACCCCCTTGGGTTTGGGTGTGTCTACTAAAGAGACCTCCTCCATTGGGGGATCTTTTTTCTCTGTGAGTTTCTTTGCAGTTGTTGATTTATCTTGAGGCTTTAGGGTGTGCTTCAAAAATCTGTAAAAAAAAAATTAAATGGTATTAAATGAGAACAGGTAAATGAAGCAAACAACACTTGTACACTGTAACATTATTCTCAAGTGTTACAGAAATGAAGCTCAGTTTTTGCAATGTATTTTTTTAATACAAATGTGGCAAAAAAAATTCTCATTTCGGTGTTTTCCACAGCAAATAATGTTACCATTCAGACTACTGGACAAATTGTACGAGGTAAAATATCACATCTATTGCAGCAAAAAAAAAAAAAAAAATGAAAAGTGAAAAGGAGAAAAAACTGAAACTTTCATAAGGGCTCACCCTTGTAAAAGTATTTTGATTCCAATCAATTACTACCTTTCTTTTAAACTCTGCACTCCAGTACTTATTGGCTTTGCCACAGCTGAGGTGACATTCAAGTCCAAGAAGAACGGATCTGTAGCAGCACTCAGCTTTGGTGTTGCTGCCTTAGACATCACCTTAACTGCATCAACAGCAGCTGTGGGACTGGCAGTATCAGCAATCAAGGGACTAGCAAGCTCTTGGTCAGCAGGCTTACCATTACCAATGGGTGATGTTTTATTTTCAGGCGGAATTCCTGAAGAAATAACCCTAGGGCTGATAGAAAGAAGGGAAGGATGTTGATGACAATAAATTATCTATTATGTTACATTACTTTCTTGGAGGAGTTGCACACTGAAACTAATCATGTCACCCAGATCTGATAATATCATTTTGAGTGTTTGCTTGCTGTGATAACAAGGAAAATTCAAGATGCATCTCCTGTCTAGGGAATAAAAACTGACTTGTGACAACACCTGACAAAAATGCTGGGGTTGCAATACATGACAGAGCTCATTATGATAGACTAGCACAACTTCCAAGGAAGAGAGGAGTTTGCATGAATACCAAGGATTATATCCTTTTTCAGAAACAAATTTCAGAGACTTTTCCAGGACTTGGACTGATTTTCAAGGACTCTAAATTTCACCTTTAACTCACCTATTCTCAAGATTTCAAAATCAATTCCCCTTATGGTTTACAGACATTTCTTCAATATTAATTCTGAAAACTTTATTACTTGAGTAAAGGAGATTTTCAGGAATTTCCAGGACCTATAGTCTTTTTCCAGGACTCTCCAGTCCTGGCAAGTGTCAAAATAAAATTCCAGGACTTTCCAGGTTCTCCAGGACATGTTAAACCCCAGAATCCTGTCACTCTTATTAACAAATTTCTTTTCTCCTAATGGTTTAATTATCTTAAGACAAATATTTTTTCATTTGATTTCCATTTTATAGGGAATGTGTTAGTAAAATGCTATCAGCCTTTCCCTCTCTCTTCCATTCTTCCATAACTTACAAGAGTCTTTCTCTAATAATAAATCCATGCAAGATAAAGATTAAATTATGGGCATGCTTCATAGTACCTGTCAGACTTCTTTTGATCTGTTAATGGCACCCTTTTCAGAAAATGTGTTATAGGAAGTACAGCTGGCATATGGTATGGCAGCTTCACTATTGATTCTACAAAGCAAAAAAATATCATATGGAATTTAAAAGATGTAAGAAACTTAGCTATCAACCAGAAAATGCAAAACAAAAATTTTTGTCATAGGCACTTTAAGTAGTAGATAATAGATGTGTTGCAACCAATTTATATGCATTTTTAAGAGCTTGTGACCCTTGAGAGTGACTAGCATCATATTTCTCATTACAATATCACCCCTGAATCAAGCATCATGAAGGTCAGGAGAATTCAATAGAGGAAATGATCTCCAACTAAAGAAGCTCTTGATTTTTATACAAATTCTCCTTGTCAGCACCTTAAGAAATGTATAGGGACTGGGTCAGTATGGAGAATATGAGGGACTGGGTCAGTATGGAGAATATGAGGGACTGGGTCAGTATGGAGAATATGAGGGATCGGGTCAGTATGGAGAATATGCATGCTGATGTTAGGGTGTGAAGGGTTGAAATATTAATGCAGCAATAAACAATCAAAAATACACACAAACCTCTGACCATTCTCTGTGTTTCACTGTGAATGGACATAAGCTCTGCCTTCTTTGCCTTACAAGGCCTGCTTGACTGTTAAAAATAACATGAAAACTGATTAAATCCTTGTCATAATATTAGTTCTTCTAAAGTGTATGTGGGCTAAACTTTTCTTGCAAACTTAACCTGACTGTTTTATTTGAAGAAATCTTACCCTCATGAAAAAAAAGAAAATATTTTGTAGTGTTTTATTGTAGTTAGATTCTGACAATCGATCACAATTTTTTTTTAATTTAGATTTTGATGTAAGTAGACCAGTTGTTGTAAATCCTTGTTCTATAATCCCCAGGGGTACATCCTAGCAATAGGCTAATGTGCCGCTAGATGGGGTAGCATTTCCACGGCTGGACTGACCATATTGATGAGCTGCAATTCCATAGAGTATTATTAATCCTGAGACCCTCCAACTGATACGTTATTTATTTAAAAATTTCATAAAGGACATCAAAATGGAAAAAGGGAGCTGCTGTTTCATTTATGGTGGAGACTCAAATTTTAGGTACTTTTACCCACAGAAGTCCTTCGAGTCCAATTCACATATGCAATTTGTAATGATTTGTTATCAGGTATTTTATTTCTATTTGATTACATCTAAGCTAGGTAGAAGGTACGCATTAACTAGTATCGGCTGTACAAGTTGCCTATTTTCATCGACCTACTTAAAGTTCGCAGATCCTTCGTGAAGTCTAAAAAAGTTAACAAACAAGTTTGCTTATAAATTCAACTCAATTACCTTCTTTCTAGATTCTCGTCTTCGATGATTCTTCTCCTTTTCAGATGTATTTTCCTCCCCAGAATCACTGTTTGCAGCTTCTTCTTCCGAATTATCTTTTTCTTTACTGTCGATGTGATTGATTGCGGGAGATTTTGGAGCACTTTCGTCGTCTGAAAAATTTCTATCTCGTCCGCCATCACTATCTTCGCCGAGCTCCGCGTCAAACAAGTCGTCGTTTGCGAAT